CCCCTTTCTACTAGCATTAAGCACTCTACTGACGTCGTATCGCCGCGCGTGCGCAAAACAGCCTAGCCCCAATCGCAACACTGCGTGTGCGCTCGACGCTTGGCTACGACGTGTTACTTGTGTGCGAGCGTGCGCGCGCAGGCGTGGCCAGACGGACTATCCCCACTCTACCCCCACCGCCGCTGCAGCGACCGTGCTAACGTTCTCGGCTGGCATCGCTGGTCCCGACGCTACTCTGTCCGTGCAGGTACGAACAGGGACGACAGTTGGCGCGTACGCAGCGCCGCAATAGACTTGCGCAGCAAGTCACGTGGCTCAACGGGACAACGAATCCGCGTGAGCCTCTTCGGCTTAAGTCCAGTGCATGGTAACGTGGCCATGCGCTTACACTATTAGAACTATTAGAAGGGGCGAGAGCCGAGCGTCGAGCCGCGAACGACGCGGGGCGGGGGGCGAGCGGTGAGGGGCGAGCGGGGAGTGTATACTGAAGCTCGCCGCTCGCTGAGTGACAACTTTTTTTCGGCGCGCCGCTCCACCTCTCGCTATTAGATGATGCCCCACCGTTGCCTGCCGAGTCCGGCCTGCCGCCTTCTACGCTCTCATTCGCTCAGACATTAAAATTAATTTCTCGATAACTATTGCGAATTTTGCAAAATGGTATAGGACTTTTCTATTCAGTTTGCCCCGGTCTATCTGCCATTTACAGGTGATACGGGTATTAGGACACACCCTGTATATTACTTTTTTCAGAGTGTTGAGTCTTTCAGATACAACACATACATTTTATAATTTTATACTTATTTATAATTTGATAATCCGATTTCTCTACTATAGAATGAATTTAAAAGAAATTGTAAAGACAGGATGGAAGAGTAAGTGAGAGAAAAGTTCAGATGGCGCTACCGTATGAAGTGGCTCAACTTGCGCATGTGCACTGCGATTTTGGCTTCACCAATATCAAAGGTGCCGACAGAGAGTTGCGCTACTGTATACTGTGCCTGTGTTCCCTTTTGGGGGGTAGTGGGGAGGGGGAAAGGCTGGAGGGAGGGAGAGGAGGGAAAGTCAGCCAGTCGGGGCGTTGTAGGCTGATCTATGAAAAACCGGGAGGAATTGTTTTTATTATTTTTGTCATCGTTTTTTATGAGAGAATGAATTTCTTACCTCAATATTTCAACGTGAAGAGTAATACATGCATCTAATTCAGTCTCATTTTTAACATTGCGGAATTTTTGGGCTAACAATTCTAATCTTGCGGCAGAATAAAATAAAAGAATCGCAATGTTGCAATCGATACACATTCCAGCAGAAACTTGTAAACCGACTAATGATTGATGTAAATAAATAATACTTTTTATCGGATGTTCTACGGAAAATGGATATTTTGCATGAGTCGGAAATTCTTCTGGAAGAAATAATGGTCCGCAAATAATACCAATAGCAGTTAAGTAGCACCATAAAGTATAACTGCCGTAAATACGCCCATATTTGTCAACATAATGTTGCAGTGTAATATTTGTCTTTTCATCTGCTTGTTTGCAAAACGTTTCCATTTCATAATAAAGAACCTGAAACAAATAAACGAATGTTTAATCAATGGTTTGCATGTTATCTTTTCTCAATTGAATTTTTAAATATTTTTTTAACAATTTTAATTTTCCAAACATAGAATGAAAACCATAAATGTCCATTAGAAATCTATCATGGAGTTTAAAAATCCCCATTAGATATCCATGTTACTTTTTAAAGATATCTACTAGACATCCACAGTTTCGTATTTCATATTTTCATCTGACTTCCACTATACGTATTCATAAATGTCTTTTATGAATACGTATAGTGTTATGTTTTATGAATACGTATTATGTTATACAGGGTGTGTCCTAATACCCGTATGTCCCGTAGATGGCAGATAGACCGGGGCAAACTGAATAGAAAAGTCCTATACCATTTTGCAAAATTCGCAGTAGTTATCGAGAAATTAATTTTAATGTCTGAGCGAATGAGAGCGTAGAAGGCGGCAGGCCGGACA